GATTAAAAATCACGGCGTTTGCTTGCCTCTTCCATACACTACACTAGTTTCATTTTTTTTGGTATCACCTATAAAAATTGAGGCTCTGGTGTCACAACCACGTTTGATATAGTAGCACATGCAGTAAGATCAGAACTGATGTCTTTAAGCATGCAAGAGTATGTGGTTTGTGCCGAGTTCGGTTGGAAAATTTTTCTTATTCCATGCAAGGTTCCACATCTTCTGAAACAGTTTATTTTGAGCATGACAAACCTTAGACAATTTACCCACACAATGCATTACGACTAACTTGAATTATTGAAGGGGGGTGTAAAATCCTGCCTTTAATCTTAGCTGCCACTGCGTTCCCCCCCGTTCCGGCATGCAAAGATTGACAAAAATACTTGTGAATGTTTCGACCCATAAGGAACTTCGTCGGGGGGCAGTTCGTACACAATTTCATACACAATACAGAATTTGATTCGCCACAAATTCTAACAGTTGAGACCCAATTAACGTGGAAGAAAGCGGACTGGTTTAACATGCATGTGGTTACGCTATATACATACAGGCCTTTTGAATCTCTTTGCGATTCATAATTTATGAATCGGTTTAAATTTCCTTCACTCTTTATTGATCACTCTTCTTCTGCCTTAATTAAGTCTTGAAGAACAAAACGCAAAAAAAAATTCAAAAGTTACATTGCACATACGGCTATATGACATTTTTTATGTTAGATCGATCGGCTATATTTGTTTTTACCAGGAACGTGTACGCATGCATACTTTCGAGAAGGAAGTCGAATTACATGACGTTGCTAAGCAACCTCATTTCGTTGAAATAAACAACCAGCACGGCGGCATAATCAATTAATGGCTTCTGTGCGATGAACAATCGATATCCCAGTGTGATATCCATAGAAGTCAAGCAAGCGAGAGAGAAGTTGCATAGTCATAGAGCCCAGGGAAATTCAATCAGCGCAATTTAGTGTAAAATTTTTATACATAGCTTGTTCAGTTCATGCTTTCTTCTGCATTACGACTGTAAAAGTGTTGAGCTATCTAATAAAAAACGTCTAAGTTTTCCGGGTCCTGTTTATAGACTAATATATAATATAAAATATAATTTCATCATGAACATATATCATTGATTATTTTCCGACAACAATGAAAAGAGCTTGGATGCGAGGTTTACCAATACTGAATCGTGACCAAAAAGAAGAAATAAAAGAAAAGGCAGTACACTATAGTGGCAGTGATTTACTCGTTTGGGTAGTTGAAACCACGGTAGTTCCTGTACATGCTTATAGCCTATAATAATTGCGTGCTTTTGAAAATCTACGACTAGAGACCCTAACTCTACGGGTTATATATATAGGTTTGGTTTGCGACATACATGACGAAGACTTCAGGCCTTAGCTCTAACGGCAGTATCGTCAGGGAAATATAAGTTTTGTTGCCGGATGGAACAACTGCATGGCGAAGATGTCAAGGTCAACCGGCTCACCATGTACCATAACAATGGGACGTTCACGGTTCACCATATAGAGTAATCCATGAACACTACTTTTTACTTACCCTTAAATAAATTTTTATTATTACGATTGCTAGTTTCGATCACTATGAAGATAGTTCTTGACAGGAATCAGTTGATTTGAGACGTTTTATGGAACGGAAACTCTAAAATTATAATGAAATTATAGTGACGTGTTTAGTGATGTGATATACGCATGCTTCCGTGAGTATTTATATCACGATATATGAAGTATCGAAAGTTGATTCCAGCCAAAATTTTCCCACATTGAATGCAAATGTAAAAAAACTAATCCCTATATAGTTTAGTTTAGGATTGACTGTCATTCTGCCTTTTTTTCAAAAGTACATTTAAAATTAAGCATATACTATTCATCGCTTCATCTAATAAAGGAACACAGCTAGGATAGAAGATTCCAGATAGATAGTTTTATGTAAATGTAAATGTAAAGGAAAGGATATTCACTGATCAAAGGGCACTCAGTTAACCTCGCTCATCTTGGCTTTCTAAAAACTATCCACAGTTTTTCGTACAGTGTACAGACTACAGAAGCTCGTATATATAGCGCATGGAAGATAGAAAACTCCTACAAGATCTGTCAACCGCAACGCGTTAATTAATACTTCACAATTAAAACCATGGAAGCAGCAAGTGTATCAGTGACTTCGACTAACTTGTCATAAGTGATTTTTGAACTGCCTAAATCATACACAAAAAGACGCCCCGATGCATGCAAGATGGATTTTTTCATGCCCCGATCCAAGAAGGATTTTTTAGGCAGTTCCTTCACGACATTTGATGACAAGTTACATAAATAGAATATATTTACATATTATTGATCTATTAATACATGTACTAGAATATTTTAAAAGGGGTTCTAGCATACAGACAAAAGTCGAAACGACGACATGCTGATCACATGAACAACGATTTAAAGCAAATTTTTAATCTCATATAATAAATTTAGCCACAGAAATGATTTTTTTCTAGTGAGGCCCGAAGGCCATCTTGATGTAGCTAGAAAGAAATAAGCCTGTTCGCATGGTTGAATCAGAAATCAAATCAGTTTCTTCTGTCAGCGTCTTTTCCCTTTTCCCTTTTCAAAGTTCCAAAGTCAAACGGTTATTACCGCAATGTATGTTGGACTACGTGGATTCCGAAGGCGTGCATGATATCGTATTTCCGTTTCAAAAGTCGTGACACCCTAACAAAAACGTTTTTGTGTCACGGTTAACGTTTGTAGCCTCACGCTGGCAAAGGAAGTTGGTGTTGATTCAATTAATTGTCCATACAGGATTTTTTACTGGAATATAATGTGTTTATCACCACATTTTTGAAATAGGATTTTACTGTACTTGTACACTGCTGACTACCCATCAATCATTATTAAAACAAGAAGATTTGTCTGCATTTACTCATAAATGTAATCTAATACAATTATTAGTAATGTTAAAGAAATGCACATCAACATAACATTCTTTAAATTAGGACCCTAATTACATTTATCTCCTGTGAAAAATGTCGAAATTATATATTCTTACGTGGAAAATTCGAAACGGTTGCAGCTGTAATTGAGTTCTGTTTTAGCTTCCTAAATTAACGAATGGTATGTACCTGATACATTTTCGACAAATTTCTTTGTAATCCTCTATTTCCAGAGCAGGACAACTGCATAAAAACAGGGTTCAGCTGACAAATGAAATGCATTTACTTCGACGATACCCAGATAGGAAGAACCAAGAAACACAGATATTATCGTCATCATTTAACAAGAAAAAATTAAAATGAATTTCAAGATTTTAAATCTCATGGTAGGTAATGTTTTTGCAACAGTGCTACATATTATAGTACTCATTAGAAATAACTTTCGAATTTGGATATTTTGTGTGTAAATTCTCTGGTATGTGCCAGTAATATATGACAATGTGTATGTTTGAAGACATGCGCATTCAACTACAATAGTGGAATGTTGCAGTGAAACTTTCCAAAGGATGTGTGTATTTTTTCGTTTAAAATTAAGGGAGTATTTTTTTTTTTTAGCTTTAATTGAGCGCCAGTAATTTTGTTTGTTTACGCTGTGTGTTGCTACTAAAATTTTGGGGTTTTTTATGTATTACAAATTGAGAATTCCCGAAATGCCCATGAGATAAAACTAAACATATACTTGCAGGTTCGGTGTGGTTGGACCCCAAGCCGGCTTTCTTTGGCCCTTGCGCGTAAATCCCGGACACATGAAAACATTGTTTTCAATATATAGACCCTAAATAGTAATATAAATTATTCTAAATTTTCAGGTGTTCCTGCTTTTTGTGAATCATTCTCTGAAAGAATGTAGCTCCCATCCACACGGCAAATGTCTTACCAGAAAACATCTCCTGAAGCAATATATGCTGGTCAAAAACACATTAACAACATTACAAGTCTCTGCAGCTAGTTACATTGCACCAAAGAAGTGTCCTTGGAATTGGGTGGAAACTGACGACAACAACCGATATCCCCAAAAAATGGCGAATGCAACATGCGGAACAAATTGTGATAAATGGTACTGCGTTCCTGTGAGATATAAAATGTTGGTATTCAAGAAAACTCTAAACAACGAATGGATGCCTCAACTGCAAATTTTTAACGTGGCGTTTGTATACAACAAGCCGGCGATTTAGGAATTATCCAGGATATATAATAACATGTAGACAATAGTATGGACATTAGAGAAATTTATCAATGATATAGGATAAACAAAATTATAGGACAGCATAATTCTCTTAAGTTATTTCGAAAAAAGAAAGCACTATTATGAACGCATTTCATTATGTATGATAATAACGTATTTATCAGCCTTAATTTATTTTCATGCACAGCTCATGCATGCATTATTTATCATAATAAAACTTTTTAATATACAAGATTGGTTCTGTAGTTGTTTATAAAACGAAAATAGGTCACGAATGAAGAATATTCAAAAAAAAGCCGAATATTTTAAACATACATTAAGAGAGACTATCACTGATTGATTGATCTGAGCCCATAAAGCAATATTTTTGTACTTGTGGTCGGATTTCTTACTTCCTAATTTATCTAGCTTCAATAACTTCGTATGAATTTCATATTAGTCGTATTATTTAATTCTACTATTGATTTTCCATCATGATTTTCAGTCTAAAGTAGAAGAAAACTTAGCCCGAAGAAGCCGGCCGACTCAGCTCCAAACGCATTCCCACTCACTATATACAGCACTGCATGCTGGTAGTTCTATAATGACAGAAAAGTCTGATTACGAAAGGCGAATTTTCAGTCGATATATCTCAGCAAGGAATCATTAGGATATGGTTTTGAACAATCTAGATTACCTGAGGGAGGGCTTATATACAATGTTAGTGATTCCTTACTTTGATAAAATGTAATAGTTCTAGGAGGTTACTCGCGGCTTAAGCCGTCTAGACGTACCTTTGACAGAACCACATGGTTGCTATGTAATTAACCCTTATTGTCGTCAACACTTGATTTGTTTGGGTTGTTTTGAAGCATCCGTAAAATCATTATTGCATAGCTAATATATGTGTTATGAAACTACAACATCAACTGGACAGGAATTGCTTGTATAAGTATAATCGCAAGAATTGCTAGTTGGCATTGATTGAAGTGGCTTGGCAAAGATATGAGTTCCATTCAGTTGTTCAGAACATCGACTGGTAGACATCCTTAGTATGTATTTGTTCTTATATCATTTTGTTATGCGGTGTTCTGATTTTGCACGACTCTTGAGATTACAATTACATGACATGACCATTTGGTGCATCAGCAAAATATTATCATTAAGATTGACTCGTATAATTTTGTATGGCTGGCTAGCAACAAAACTTTGTACACTGAGGTACACTGCAACAGTACGAGGTGTTTTCATACATTCATGCTATAACAACAGACAAATATATATCATTACTTTTTTCTACTGCTAATTTTCGCAACATGCCTTCCCTGGATTGATAGTCCAACGGGAGACGAGACCAGGGTGGCAGGTTGCTCGGTTGTCCCAGACGTGGCATGACCTTCGTCGCTTCACCGCAACAAATGATCAAATTTCTTGTCGTCCAGGCCCGGATGATAATCTTTTGTGAATATCACGTTAATTTCGATTCGGTCATTTCCGATAAAGTTGTAGTGCCTGTCAAATGACTAAATTAGAAGAATGCCCGATGTCTGCATGTTTAAAGGCGAAATCCTGTAATTTGAATGCCTGAACCATTTTGTTGAAGCTATAAAATGCTGAAAGAAATATTTGACGAGAATAGCCCCTGGGGATACAGCAAATAATTACAAAATATACCTCTGGAAGGATCAGATGAAATATAATGAGTCTGATCAAGTGGTTGTAGTGAGTTGTAGTGATTAGTTCTATCGTGAGGACACTAAGGGGACAGAGTTTGGATAGAACTCTAGTATTAGTCAATAAACTCTAGAATGGAATGATTTTTATCCAGCAACAGACAAAAAAGACAACTGGGTAGTCAGGGTAGATGCATCATACATAGCGATATATTAATCACTAAGAAAAGCGGTCCAAGAAAGAATTGACTTTGAATTCGAGTTCTATCTGAACTCTGAAGCATCCTTCACTGTTGTGTGACAGACGGGAGGATGTAACAGAACATTGTATTATGATGCAAAGATATTTTAGATAATCAGTGAAGTAACAATTATGAACTAGAGTAGAGAGGGTCATGGTGTAGAATAAGAACACATCGCCGGCAGCCGGATAATTAATATTTCATTAATTCAGTGAGAGTCTGCATTTTTGTATGTTTTATATTCTCATTAGAATCCTACTCAAAGCCCATGACAAACTATAAGCTTTGCCTATGTGCTTAGCAATCGATCGAGCGTGCCATGCAATGGCGTACGGAGATCTCGGGTCATTATGCAATAAATCAAAGGGTCGCCTCTAACTATGTTCGGATTATGGCAACTGTGGTTAAAATCATGAATAAGTTAGAATAAATAAAGAGAATAAATAAATGTTGAATACCTTACATCTGTTATATCTGGCACGTTGACGAACTTTAAATCTATATTTTCCTAAATTGTTAAACTATAAGCCTACCTAAGCTTTTGTCGCTCCTGTTAGAAGAGTTTGTTTTATTGAACCAGCAGGTTAGTTAAAAGAATGCTATACTTTCAGCATGTCCCGCTGGTCAAGAAATGAGCCCGCAGCTTGCAGAATGTATCTTGGAAACTGTGATCATTGGTCCAAGTTAAAACATAGGGTAATATTACAAATACAGATCGTAAGAAAATATATACACAACCCCAATATCAGAGAAGTTCTTTTTAATGCAATGTAGGCAGCCATATTGACTCTGAAATACGGAGATGGCGACACGGGGATTGCGTTTTGGTCTGACAACGAACCCGCCGAGAACAGTAAGTATATCTTATATGAGGACAGTCAGTGTATTATATACTATATAGTGAAAACAATCGTTGAATGAACTAAAATTACAGACTTCCAACTGAAAGTAAGCGTGGAAAAGGTTCAGTATTTAAATAAAATTTTAGCGATTTACAAAATCAAATAACAATGGCAAAGCACGTTTCAATAATCCGCAAGATCCAAAGGTATTGCCAACAGAAAAAACATTATCATTGTGTGATGATATTCGGGTACCGGAACTGGCCAACCGCTAATCATTTCTTATTCCTACGATATAGAAAGCGGCATTTTTTAGTTTAGTTTATATATTGTGTATAGCTGAAATAGCAAGAGGTCAGCTTCTACAACGTGAACATCAACAAAACAACAAACGACTTTCCTCTATCGGAAACAAAACCTTTACGGAGACCATGATTCATTGTTTAAGCGGCGAGAAGCCTGGTCACAACACAGCGTCGAGAGATTGTAGGAAAAATATTCTGCGCAGCTCAGCTAACGACAGGGCGCGTGAAGGATTTCGGTATTGGGTTTTGGAGAAGCCCATCCCTAAAGGTGTGTTCCCCAGAAAAGGTTTCTTCTTTTAACATAAAGTCCGAGAGTTTAACATGGAGACTTAAAATGACTGGGAGAATGTTCTTATGCATGTTTGGGTAGCTCCATCAAGTGCTGTCTGTACTCCAGTAAGCCTGGGGCTAGGTGTTGCTAACTGATTGCTGATGATGCTATCGAATATGGAGTATAGCCTAGTATAGCTATAACTATAGGTTTACTCATTTGCTAAGGACAGTCCATTCAGTTCAGGTCTTGATTTTTCTATGCTTGCTGTATAGAGAGAACACTTTAAAACTGAGTTATGAAGTGAAATAGGCATTAGTATATGGTTAGTTTTGTTTATAACTTGAGTTATTTCATAATTACAGTGTTTTCTTACGATCACAGGGGGCAAATACACGACTGGCGCCAGGACATCAGTGCTAGGACTTGGAAAATCTTTTTATCCATAAGTGGTGGGATTCTTCTCTGCACGAGTGGTTTTTAAAGTTTAACTCGACAATGAAGTATCAATGTAGTGCATGCGCAAGACTTGTGTGATTGGGATAACGTTCCAATTAATGAATATCATTTCACTGATTAAGAGATTAGTAATCTGGAGCGTTGCCGTTGAAGAAGTATTCAACTGTAAATCGCCGCAAATTACATTTTCACAGCCCTCGGGCTGCGTTCCATCGCGGTCAGTTATGAAAATTCACTAGAACATTCATATAGTAAAATGAGAAGTAATACACAATCTGATGTATAAAATGTTTGACATGTCACATGAATTTAGCTTAATTTTGACGTTTCTTCTTACTCCGGATGCCCTCCTATTTCCTTAATGTAACCGATTAAACAATTTAACATTGCTATCGCAACAGATTTAAAATTGCAAATAATTTTTTATTAGTAAATACCGTTTGTTCATTACTCTACAGTCTATATATACTTCCTAATTGGTGTGTGGTGTGCATTATGATACTTATAAATAGCTACGTGAAATAATGATAATATATTTATGTTTATGAAGAAACAGATCGAGTTTCTATAATATGGTGGTGCTTATTTATGTGAAGAATTTGCTGATTAGAACTTTGGATAAAAATAAGTGATTAACTATGATTTTATCACAATTTTGATGTTGGGAGATAATGCATATACAGCTGCAGGAAATCTCACGAACTTCTCATCTTTCACAACATTCAACATTCTTATTTATCCTGATTTTATGATGAACTCGAGCATACAATAAGAGCACTTAAGGGCATGTACCTATAATGGATTTATGAAAGACTTTGTTTACACTCACAAACATGCTAAAGTGGCACTACGCCAAACACAAATGCTATTTTTATTAAGAAAGCCTTCTAGACCGAGTATATAGTTGCCATGTCGATAATTAAAACAAATCTGGGAGCTATTACTATGCAGAAATGAATTAAAACAAAACCATTTAATACACCAATAATATACCTACGCTTGTTGTTTCTAATACTTGGATCTTTTCTTATGATTATGATTTTACACGTACTCATAAGAAAAAAAAGTGTAAGAAAACTTTACCCCAGTGAAAAATGAAATGTAAAACAATTCAGCCCATACTTAGTGCTCCCTCCCCTAGATTTTTTCTGCTATGAAGTTGTTTAGCTGTGTTATTGAAATTTTGTTTCGATTATTTTGATGGGAGGAGCTGGACACCAACGGGGAGATCTATGATTGAAGGTCAGTGTGGTTAAAGCGATGAGAAACGAATTGAGTCTCATTGGCACAACCAAAGAGTCTTTCGCAGTGGCAATGCCCTGTCTTATTCGCGGGGAAAGGGACGAGAGAGCTGCGGGTTTTTACCTCAGCTTATCTGTAAAAAATTTGGGACATGATCTTATTATTGTAACAATATTGCGAGTGGACAGTTAAGTTAGATATGATGAATTATTTGAAGTTTGAACCATGAAGTATTCTTTGCTGTATTTCAGGTTCCACCTTAAAGTTGAATCAATTTTTCTAGAATTGGAAATAAAAATAACTGGAAAAGTCACTAGTTTAATTGCAACATACAGTGTTGCGTAATTATATTGTGTGTGATCGATCATTGTACCCCGGAGTTTTCCGGAATTACATTGCATAGTATGGAGAGAGCTTGACTGACTTGGACATATTTTGGTAAACTATTTATCCGAAGGAAAATTTACGTACGTTTTTCTATGCCTCCATATCGGTATATTGCTGCATGAAAAGTGATGAATTAGGAGTAGTTTGGAGCAACACATGTGAACGGCGAACCGGCTATACATTTGGATGCATTAATTTTGCGAACTGCTTTGATTATAATGATTTTTATTACAGACAAAGCCATTTTAAAACTAAAAGGTTCTAATGTTCGCAGCAAGTAACCTACACAGAGATGTTCGATCAAATTTCACGGTTTATATGCATCAAATTAGCCCAAATGCCTAAAATATGAGGTAAAAAGATTTATTTGACCTAAATCCTTCCGTCAGGAAATATAGTATCATGGAAAGATAGTATGAAAATATATGGAATGGGCAGTACTTGTTTGTTTAAATCTGGTAGAGCTATAATGTCTTGATGGTATTGTCAATATATTTTCAATATATATGTCAGAACCGCGCGTGCTATTTTGTCTTTTCTAACCAGAGTGTGTGAAAAAAATAGCCTACGCCGGATATAGAAATTAACTAATTATTTTGATAATTGTTTTTTCCACATTTCAGGAGCGGAAATTAATCTGAGCGGTCTTTAATCTTAAAAAGAGGCGGCATTATATATATAGCCAAAATTTTCGTTCTTATTTGAGAAAATTATTAATAATCAAAACCTTATAGGCTTGTTGAGTTTACAAATCATTACGGAGTCATAGCAAATAGTCATAATAAACCTTTTTTACATATTCGTCAACTTCAAAATTAAATTACAAAAAAAGAATTGCAAAAAAAGACCAAATCGTTCGAAGCCCTAAGAGTTAAGAGCTGTGGCATAATTACTGTTAATTTACTTAATAAATTTGTCTCGTAATGGCGCAATGAAAAGTCTATAAGACTATATATCTAATTTTAGGCTATCTATGCAAATGTTGTAAGTCTAACTTTGTCACATTCATACTAATCCTATCAACATTAAACAAACATACCCAAGATATTCACGGCCGGAAAAATACATTAGATGTCAAGGGCATGTACCCTTCCCTAGTACGTTTTTTAACATCCTGGTACAACGAATTGTTTTCAGTAAGGAGTATTTATAATTCCTGAGTTTTTAATTAATGGCTGAATACTCAGTAACCTTGCATCCCTCATTCCATATAACTATATGGTTCAATTATATCGTTCTATGTCTATATATATCTACGGTTTGTATACATATTCTACGTATCAACAATGCAATACAAACTGATAACATTTATGGTCCGACATTACCCGTTATACTTCGTGTAAGGCAACACGAGAATCAAAGTTCGCAAGCATTAACTTTATAATTTATGTTTTCTCGGCCCTGTCGAAACAATGTCATTGACATTGCCACAGTTAACAACTAACAAGTCTGAAACTGGAGGATATACGTCTACCTTCATTCTTCTTTGAGTTCAGTGGAGAAGGCAAAACATTGATAAGATTGTTGGAGTGAAAATTAATTTAGGCCTATGTGAATGATCGCCTAAATTGAAAGATTGAACTACTATATTTATATATTTTGATATCCTCATAGTGAGAAATAAAGAAGAAATACAAACACGCAGTGAACCTAAAGAGAGAACACTTTCGGAAATATTTTAATAAAAACAAACTTAGTTATTGTAAAACATCGCAAAAGCAAAACTGTGGGGCGTTATATTTTGAATATTTCTCTAACATCCCGCTGTGTGATGAGGTCGGTCCCATGTGGCGGTGTACTTTAACAAATTAACTTTATTGTTAGTCATTGTGTTGCAATAAATATCTCAAAACAACGGGCACAGACATATATTCTTCACAACATCATGAACTTAGACATTACGGCCACCATTACAGCGTTTGATTTCTTACTATATGTGACATGTTGTGGTTTGAATTTCAAAACAAGGCGTTTTTAGAATTTTAAAACTGCCCAAAACATCCGATTGAGGACTACTATGTCGGACTTATACAGGGCGGCAAAACAAACGCTGCACAAATGTTGAAAAATGACCATATTTAAGCCTAATCACCGTTTTAATTACCTCAGGTTGACGGCTATTGCACGCCGCTCCGGTAGACACTATTTACGGTAATCCGGAATCGTGAAACGGAATCAAACGGAAACTGGAGGATATTTTTTTTACCGGTTCTCATGATTCAGGCAGCGTTCAGACTCTAAATAACAAACCACAGCATCATTTTGAATTGAGGTCTCAATGCTTGAGATCTTGGCAGAGCGTACCCCTTTTAAGAGTGGGTCAACTGACAAACTGTGACATATATAATTTGTCTTAGAGCTGGTATTCTTTATGCTGGAACACTTCACTTTTTTATCTTATATATTTTACTAAAGCGGCTCACAGAACTAGGAACACGCTTGTCAGTGTATTACGTTGCTCTTGTTAAGTAATTTTTCTTATACCTTACTCCAAAGATTTCAAACCAGGCTACTAGACTTATTGCAAGAGTACACTAAATCGGTCATGAACAAGGTCGATTATGTCATTTAAAGCATGAGTCCGTATTTTAAGTCCAGGTTTTACCACCTTCGCCTATAACGGTTTCAGACCATCCGCTTTCCTCACGTGCGTTGGCAAACTTCATTAGCTCTTTACGTAATGTTTTCATCGTGTTTCACAAGGGATCGGGTTATGTATCTTACCCGGGTGAAATTTGTATCCTGAAAACTAACATCCTTGCGAACAATATTTTTCAACAGGAAGAGAGATGCTACAAAAGTTTGTGTGAGAAGACCACATTTGCTGCCGATTTCTTTGCGGTCAATTAAAGAGTTCTTAGGCTATTGTGCAATGAATAAAACGGCGTTCCTCAGCCTTATCATGGAGCGACCTGATAGCACATTAGACAAGGACACCCTAGCAAAACAATTACCCAAATTATGACAAATTAATTATGTAGGCTACGGTAGACTCAGCGTGAGTCTTGAATGAAACGTTCCTCCGTCAAACGAACATATTATACTGCTGTATATGATTCATGTTGGGACACTGAGTCAACTCTGCGTCTACTTCTAAACAGTTTATCTAACAAGACGGATTCATATTTGAACATTATGTCAAATGTTAAATCTTTGCTCTTTCTTCTTCCCTTTTGTCTTTTTGCGATTTCGTATGGTGGACCCGTTAACCATTTAGACGTCTTTATCGCACGAAGAGAACTGAAGCGTTTTTTTAATGGTAAGGTGAATTTTTTGATTTTAACTTTTTAGTGTTATCAGTGAGTTTTATATGTGTTGGCTTCTGATCATGATGTGACAATTAAGGTCAACTTTAAGAATTATGCTGATATTGACTATATGCCGTATATTGGTTGACTACCATAACAAGTTAAACCATGTGATAAATAAACATGTACATGGTTGCAGGAACATCTTCTCGGCGTTTACTTGCTCTACTGCATGTAGATTCGCAGTATATTATGTGCAGTAGTGTCACCGCACCACAGTGAAATACAGTTAAACACAAGTTAACATGCGATTAAGAATAAGAACTTTAATTTAACATGACCAAACCACCGAAAATTACATCAGAAATTTGGTCATGATATTATTGTGAAGTTTATTCGATCGGCACAGGTTTTTGTTATGTTTCAAGGATATAGTTCGATCAAACAAAACCTTTGGTGAAATTAATAACTGTTGGTGATCGTAACTATCTGACTACCTCTATGACGTACGTACAGCCTCATCACTCTAATGCACCACCTTACCTAGCGGATCCCGCTATACTAACGTTTTCCACCCTGTCAACAATTACAGAATCCTGGGTCACCACTAGAAATAGCAGTACTGTACGAATTCTGTATTATATATATGGTCTATTTGACTGATGCATCCATGTTATTATATTTTAGAAGAAGTTTCACTGGACACCGTATAACTGTAATTTATAACTATATATAATATATATACAATATATACATTAATTTGTGATGTACACCAGTCTGCCAGAACATCCAGTGTTTTCGCTTTGCGTTCAATACATTTACGCCAATCAGTTAATTAATTATTAGAATTATTAGACTTCAGCCTTTATAATTGCTCGACAATTTTCATTACCTTATATCCCAAAGTGTTTGAGGGTAATTATATAGATATGGTAAAGTGCACAGGTGAACCTAAATTATGCAAACTGTAATTACAGAACCTTAATTCTTAACTAAACATTTTATAGTATAATCACATGCACTGTTGTGGTGACATTCAGTTGCCAATTATAGAATTTGAACTCAATAACAGGAATAACTATGTAATAGTATACTATGTATTATATATGGTAAATTGCTATTCGTTTTTTGAACCTTGGATTTTATTTCTATCATTTTATTCGGACACTGCCGTTTTGTTGCTGGCGCAAACAACCACAAAGATCCTTCTTCGCCCGCAGTTTGATCCTACCAAATCACAAAGCAAATGAAGCCCGTCAATAATTCCAAAAGCTCGAGTCCTTTCCTCCGGTTTCAGACCATTAGTTGGCTTCAATTGCCGCTTGAATTGGCGGGCCCGCTTAAGAATGTTTTACATCATGTTTGTTTTCTCTCAGTGAATCTAGCCACTTTTCGTATTTGGTTACATCAGGTTGGATAGTATCATGTTTACTGGACACAGCATAGTCAAAAATTTCGTTTTAAATAATGAAAGTTATAGGACATCGAAGGGAGATAAGACCCCAGATAATGTCAACGGGAAATACATCGTTAAACTTTACATTAATTCAACTACGTCATTGTACAGAGACATGCTGATTGTTGATAGCAAGATGTCTTTCGAAATAAAAAACTTTACCGGCATGGACTTTGAATTTAAGATATAACTACAAGTTCAAAAGATTGTAAAATACATTAATGTGACTGTATGAAACGATTTTCCTAGAAATGCTTTTTTAATTATATATTTTTGCTGTCCATGTTTTTATCTAGAATTTGACATCGGTGATTTTTACATCATAAGAAAAGGTGTCATCGATAATTTTGTTCAAAACAAGGCTACCGGATTTCTGCCTGCGATAGCTCCTGAAACACAGTCACTGGAACTAAAATTCCAGTCAAGATATAAGGTAAAATATATATGAAAGGCCCAGTTACACAAATTTAGCGCGATTTTCGCTTTTTGATAAATGCAAAGGAGCGAATACATGAACCGAGGTCAGACCGAGGTCGAACCGTGGTAAGACGGAGGTTAAATTTCAGTCTAACTCGGTCTGACAAACATTTCTTCAGATTTTTTCGATTTGATAATGGTGTTGTCGTTCTCAGCTGTTCAGAACACTTCGATTGGAAGCGAACGGCCCCTGCGAAGGTATTTTTTCCCTTTTGGTCGTCTGCGGTTTCTATCGGTCGACCGCAACCGAACTGCGGCCGAACCGCAACCGAACTGCGGCCGAACCGCAACCGCAGTGTTAGGTTATTTCTGGACAGTATACTGTACACCATATCTCATTCGCGTCTGTCAAAAAAGAAAACGGCAGCTTCTTCTATGGTAGGTATGTGCAATGTTTTTGTGAGAAGCGTGTTTCACTACCGAATTGTTTTCAATGACAAATACACCTGCGATCTCCACTGCTCCAGAACGACCATATGATTAGGCCAGAGCATGTATGCCTTATTTATGCATTATCATAATGAAGCATGTCTGTAAACTAATATTCGAATTACGAACGATTTAATTTGTTTCTTCTAAATCATTCATACTATTCATTTTGCAAAAATTCACTTGAGTATAACCAATCTTCAAACAACCAGTTTACATTAACTGTGGTATATATAATTACAAGAACTGTCTAAAATGACAGATCGACTTTTCGACCTGACTAACTCGCCTGCATGATGAAGATAAAAGCCCTAAGGTCGAATAGTTTTTTAACTTTTTTTTATCTATTTTAAGCAGTTGTTATACAAGCTATTATAAGTATCGGAAAAGCTGAAATCATTAAAACAAACTTAGTAGCAAAATATTGTCAAATGCAAAAAATGTACACCTGTACGAGTCTTTAGATTATATAAATATGCTTTTGTTGTCCGGGCAAATTGTCACCGCTTTTAATTACCACACACATGCAATACATACCAAGGTATAGAAAAGATTTGCAATTTCAGATTCTACAACATTTGCAGCTAAACTTTGCAAAATGTTCCTAATTTTTTATTTATCTGTGATGGTATTTTGTCCTTTTGTGTCAATAACAAACCAGTTAATTTCAACTCCAATGTTGAATTCATACAATCATTGCCGGAATTCAGCCGGTTAACTGATCATCGCTGACCTCACTTAATAATTAATATTACTTTCTGTAGCTGTACTACAAGCTCTATATGTCCTCAAGCGACAGAAGTATTATGAAAATACCTTCTTCGACGATCAGACCAAATGGTCATGTCCCAAGAAAAGCACGACGTACGTATGTCTGCCACTGTTTAGATAATTACGCCAATTTCAGAGGACCAAGGTTATAGACGCGTGGTAAAACTGCTAACTACATTTTGCGTTGTACATGCAATTGTAACCAACTATAACTAAAAGCTAGTCCACTAACGTTTTGCAAACTGGTACCTGTACAATAAGTTTGTGTCGTTTTGACTGACGTGTTTGCGGACAAACCATGTTTTCTGATTGGTCAATCGCTGACCGCATTGGCCAGAAACATCATTTGTCCGTCATGTCATAACGCTGACTCATTGTGAAGTTAGAGAAAACATCGACAGCCAAAATAAATGCACAGAATCTTCTAACATGGCGTGTTCGTGATTGCACAATGACAAAATGTGTTTTGTAGATCAAAAAGTAAGGATGAGCGTTAACTGACACCCCACCCCCCCCCTTTCAAAAGCAATTCAGTGCAATTCTCTGGAACCAGACATAGGCAGTTAAACCTTTTATCAAAACGTAAGTAACAGTAACAGGATTCGTCGCCAATCAGAATGGCAAACGACTACGGTCAAACGACAACGCAATTTTTAGCAAATGCAGTATATACAATTACTTGGAGTGACTAAACATGATATTGAAGTTGAATGTCAGTTTTTAAAAAATTGCATGGTGCTTCCTTTATTCAGCATTCAAGATCCGCTTCCCATGCACACGTCGAAAAACTGGCACCGCCATGTTGAAAATTAAGATGGAGTTCATGCTACCAGCTATGAAAAGAAGCCCAATTACAGAGTTTGTTTTAAATCTGAAAAGGAGCTGTGAAAAAGGTTAGCACATGTCGTTTAGACATTTTTACAGTTGATCTTAAAGATCGCATTTTCATCACCGCATTCATAGGCGTACGAGACAGGGGGGCAGGGGGGGCAGTTGCCCCCCCAAAAATTTCGAGAATCAAGAAATTCGGGCAAAGTTCAGCCGAAACTTCGGGCAAAATGAAAGCTAAATTACATAGCTAAAATTTTTAAAACCAAATTTTGTAATATATTTAACATATTTGTATTCTATTTCGCTATTTTTGTTATACTTTCTTAAAAGTACATCCGCCGCTTTGCCAAATCTATTGTTACAAAATCTGGTAAAAGTTATAATTCGGGCACATTGTGTAATTCAAAAATTCGGGCGATTTTTTTTTGCCCCCCCAAACGAAATTGCGCCCGTACGCCTATGACCGCATTGGAAATTCCTTCAATACATACTACTTGTTTTTAAAGAAAGAACTGTGCATCTCTCTCATATGGACACCTCGATATCTATTTTTATCATTATACCGCTCTCAAACTATATAAAACTTCTATTATGAATTCAAGCACTTGTCGTGCAAAAGCTTCTTTAATACATTCACTGCTAACATTTTGACCAACGTTAACAAACTAAGTACACACACCGTGCAAGTTGAATGACGTTAGTATGTATAATTTAGTTTCAGAGTTGTTATAAACTGTGCGGTTTTGCGCAGGTACTTTATTCCAGTACTAACGCGGGAAGACACATTTTTTTCGAATCGTCACACTAAATTCTAGAATACGCATTCATGCAGAAATCGCGCACGCAATTTTGTGGGTGTTTTGATATAGACGTGGTCACAAAACTGCGACCTTTCAATCTTAATTAAAGTGTAATTTTAGAACATTCTAAAGTGTTCTCTTTTGTCTTGAGCTAAATGTATGTTCGAATAGTTACAGCCAAATATAGTTGACCTTGTCTGTCCTCTATAAACGATATGTTTCACAATTCTTTCGGCTTTCTGATCAGATATAATGGATATTCCTAATTGGATTATCGTTGAGCCGGACGTGCACGAGGAATGCTTTACTGATGGAATTCGCAGCTATTTATCGTGCGTCAGTTATAATCAAAAGAGAAGTAGTTCTTTATTCTCTACGTGACAGAACATCAGGATCTACGGGCAGAAAATAGGGTGGGGTCTAAGGACCTCATTGTTGAGTTTTCCCATTTGGGTATTCCTGTTTATGACTGACACAGATTAAACTGGAATATAGAACTATCATTATGACATTATCTTATCGCCAATGATAAATTATAAGAAATATAACTTTGGGAATGTCATCCAATAACTAAAGGGAGGAAATATCAGATCAACATAACTGGATTACTATATCTATTGGCAATCGTTGCTGACCCGTTATTGCCCTATATGCTAAATTATATATCACGTTATCAATTCTTGGACATTACGGTAGTAGGATGGCAATTCGGTAAAATGATAACTTTAAAATGACGCTTCTCATATTTTCAATACACTTGCCAGAAACCCACCGTCTTTAGAAACGCCAACTACTGTAGTACTAGAAACTATTCGTATCAATAAGTAACACAACCTGTACCGCGGTGGAAGAAAAAAATTGCACGACCACTGACTACATAATTTAACATTTGCAACATATATTCGCACATTTTAAATGAAACATGCTTTTTAAAAACCAACACAAACATTAAAGCATCACAATAAATTTCCTTTTAACGTATCAAACCGCTTCTCTTTCATTTGCAAAGTGGATTAAATTTAGCGTCGGGCGGTAGCCATTGAATTTTCGCCACAAATATCACAATAGCTCTAAATTAGTTTTTATTAGGCGTCTGTCTGCAGGAACCTAATTTTTATATCGAATTTGATATATTGTTCTTGAAACGGAATCTTCATACCGCAATAAGCACTTGAAAAGCTTGTTCACGAGGTTCTGTTGTATGAATTACTTCCCTTATTTGTCATTCTGTGAGAAGAGCGGAAGGAAGGGTTGGCTGAAAAAGCAACAATTGTACATAAATAAAGACCGATGATTTATTTTTTCGCAATTTCTGATCACTTGTCGTAGATAGCGTTATAGGTCGTGTGCTGTATAAGTCACAGCCGGCCTGACTATTATTTCAATAAGAATGAATCTGGCTACAGAATTTGTTATACTAATTGTTTGCTATCTAGCGAAAGAAGTCGTGACACGAAAACCAGCGACAGCCAAGACCAACTATATCTGTTCCAAGAAGTGCGACAGAAACAATGTGCTACGAAGATTTTGTCTCAGCGACTTTGGTAAGTACCAGTACTTGAGATGATCTTATAATAAACTGGATCGAAAATTTCAGATATCGTGGGATATTATTGTCACTATATCAATTATTGTGCTCAGAGTCAAATTTCAATCGCCAAAATCAGACTGTTATCCTACTTCGTTGTCAAGCAAGAACTAATACAAAAGTCATTAACATCTTCACTTTTAAATAAGCGTTAATCAACATCTCCCTAAAAGAGTCTTGCTTTATATTGCAACAACACCAATTATCCCTTTGACTATAATGTTCCTGTACCTTTAGCAATCCGAGCGAGAGTCGAAACGAGTTCCACCAGTAGAGGCGGTCGCCCACTGCACAAAGTTCGTGTGACAAAATACTATAAGAGAAGCAGGGTGCCAATAGGCAAGAAAATTGACATAGAAATCTTTGGAACAGATATCACTTGCAAGTGTGAGCTATTGCAAATAGGGAAAACCTATCTCATCCTTGGGAAAGAAAATTCGTTCAGCAGCTCTTTCTTTCTTGATGACTATACTTACGCCATTGAATGGGGCGAGGGTGGCAAGAAGATGGCAAAATTGCATAAAAAGAGAAGCACCTGTCCTAAGAGATTTGGACAACAATGGTACCCCATTGGAAAAGTTTAACAGAGATCTTATCAGTTACTGAGAACTATACTGGGTGTATAAAAAACCGCAAAATCTTTTGTAACCAGATATTTGCGAATTGTAAAGGATAACTCGCACCAGTTGGCCACAAGGGTGCGTCAATACAGGCTTTGCTTGCATGCATGGGTAACTAAAATGTTGCAGTCTCCTCGTATGCAAGTGTTTGCAGTTTTTAATCCACCCTGTATGTGTTTTTTAAAAAGAACCTTATTTACTTGACTGACTGACAATTAAAGAGCCGGAAATTCGCTGTTGTTTGTGATTCCATTTACTAAAAAAATAGTTATAAATCTTTGTATGTCATTTTATAGAAAAATTGTGAAGGCTTAGAGCCAAAATGACAGTCATTATTTATAGCAAAGTCGGTGATAGCAAAGTTCTATAAATGGACGTAGTTGTACAATTCCTTGCTTGGACTACATAGCCAACATTGAGGCCAATTAAATTATGCAAATATATGTCAATATGATATCATGCTTTTGCATAGATGATAATATTAACTTAGTTCGGTGCATCCATGTATAAGGATCAAGTCACATTGCGACGCGACTCACGTGTGTGAATGTAGTATAAATTAAACGTGGTACTGGTTTAGAGAATCTTTCGTCTCATGTTCAGAATAGTCGAAAGAGCGGGTGCACCGAGGTTGAAAAGTAACCCCTACAGGAGCGTAGCGGGGGGGGGGGAGATCTGTGGGTGATCTGCACCCACCTATAGGTTGTGGACTTTATTACACGAATTACACGAATTATACGAGACAGCGGTCTAAGGTTGTGCGTATCATCTGGCTACTGGTTGCTACGCGAAAGATCAAAGTAACTCAGTTATATAGCCTTATATCAGTGTACTGTTGCCGCATTCTTTTAGGGAGCCAATCACATTACTTCAAAGGCGTATTCACGAGAGATTTGTGAAAGTAAACTCAGTTTTCCAAAACAGGAAGGCTGCAAGGACTTGTGAATATGCGGAGGCGGTATTTGCAATTTCCGTTCACTGAGTGAGTTTCGTTTCTGAACATGCCAAACATATTTATTATGTTAATCTTCTCCAGAATCATTAAGTATTAAAGGTGACTCAGTGGGCATAATTTGCCTCCCCGAAAGAGCAAAAGTTATCAACATAGTACGCACAGTCTGATTGGCTGTCTCATTTTCTTCAGTTCGAACCCGTTTGTTTTTCACAAGTTTAAATTTTACTACGCCAATATTTGACATATACCCTAAAAACGAAGATTGAAATAAATTAGAACTAGAAAATTTTGAGTTATTATTTGCATCAAACGTCCTCAGTCTTATTTGCACGCGCTGCACATGCAGCCTGCGCTTCACTGGTTCGTATTCTCAAATCTCAAGACCTCGGTTTGATATTGAATTGATAGCTGAGAAGTAAGCATTGTTATGACACCCATCACTACATAATCTCAGAAAACTTTTCGAGGCACTATATGCTAGTATAAATCTGCCCTTGCTTTATATACATTTCCGATGATGAATTCCTAGCCACTCTGAATACACAAGTGGCACTTTCCCCAGCGAACTAAATGTAAATATCCAATGATACAAAGGCACGAGAAGTGTAACACAAGACATAAACTGATACATTTCAGCTTACATTTCAGTGAATCTCTCTTCAATATTGTAAGTTGTAACATGTTAGCTACATGGCCGATGCAAGTGCAACCGAACCTAGCCGTCACACTGATGGAGTTTTTTCATCTCCGAACTCGTATCGGTAAGATATGTTTATGCTCTTTAATTTTGCAGCAGTTTTTAGGCATCCATTGGCATAGGGCAGCCAAAACATACTCTACCTGAATTCCCAAAAACACAAGTGCCAATGTGTATATATCCCTACTGTGTTTTACGTAAAAATATGGCTCATCGTAATTTGCGTAAGCAATGAATATTTAGATAATAGTGGTATTTCATGACAGGTCTTGAATAACGTACTAGATCATTCATATTAAACTGATAAAATACCAAATTTATCTATAATTTATCAAAATCAATTTCAAAATTGTTGTTCGATGTGTCAGGCTGCTGCGCAGTTGTTTTGATACGTTTCTATAGTGATAAATTATTATAATTAAGATTATATATTTGTTAGGTAAGTGATGCCCTCTTGTGATGCCATACGTGTAAACACAGATGCTCTTAAATTTCACACGTGACTGATTCCTTCCAAGAACCCGGGAGTTTTTACTAAGAAATGCTCAGGCAGTTGTTGGAATTGAGCACGACGTTTCGTAAGAATCTCGTTAATCTCTGTTGATTTTTCGTCGAAAAGCTTTCATGAAATCATTTCCATGGCGCTGAATTCAAAAAGTATATCTTTTACTTTGTTTTCCTTTGTTTCATAGTCAAAAGGCCGGTGATCGGTGCAAAATACATGCCGGGAATCCGAATTTTATTCAAGCCGTCACAAATCCCTGGTAATCCGTGATCCATTCGACCCCAAAAGTCAGAAAAACCTGCAGAAAAACAACATACTGAAGTTAAAAAAGTATTGGTAAGTAGTTACCTTGCCATAAGAAAGAAGATTTCCTACTTCTTAGTTAACACGCTACAGTTTATTGACATTCTACAGGTGCTATAAGTCATAAGAACAACAATATTTTGAATGAGGCCACACTTACGTTAAAAAAGCTTGCTATATCTGTGAGTTTTTCAATTAAATCTTGACAGATAAGAGCTCTTCGTACTAAAGAATTCTAAACAAACGCCTTTCAGTTTCTCCGAACTTTTTAAAGCCGATTGAAACAACAAACTTCGGTAATGGCCACATCTAAATTGATTGACGATGTGATCGACGTTTCAAGTGGTGTATAAGCACGGGTTTTTAAAACAAGATTCGACGATACCCCGTAGAAATTTGATAATTTATGCCAATGATAGCAGTGAAGATTAAAGTACAAATTTTGCAATATAGAAGCAAAGATACGAGAAAGGTACAATTTAACCATGGATAGATAAACTGAGACCTTATTAGTGATTTTATTATCCATGAAATAACTATGCTTTTTTACATATACGGAAGTTCAAAATACGAGACAAATTAGTGACAGGGTTCAGAGGCTACGACGTAGCCTAAGTTTTTTGAAAATATAAAAGAAATTATCCACCTTCCATGAGCATCGTATCTACTATCTAGAGCTGGTGCATGTGTGTGTGTGGGTGGCCAGGGTGGGTGGTTGGCTACGAGCCATGCATAAAGTCCAACGCTATTCATGGCAAGAGCGCATTATGAATATGGACGTGGCCTTGTTCTGAAGTGATGGCGGCTATATATTGGTCGCAATACTTGCGGCTAAAGAAAGGAATTCAGTCCGGGCTGTGATTTCTAGCTTATCTAGTCTGGGACCGACTGCAAACATTCTTACAGGCAAATGCATTTAAAAATAAACCAGTCACACGCCGTAAACCCTAAAACTAACCAGAAGGTATTGTAGATTCAAGTATTTCAATATTGAAAAGGTTTAAAAAAATTCCCAAAAAATGTGAAAATAATAAACCCCATACCAAGGATCGAACCGGGATATTCCGCACACAGCGACCACCGCTACGCTGCTGAATTTTCCGTAGTTTAGCTGTATTCATAGTGCTCAAGAACGAAAAAGAGATCAAACAGACGTGGTTACAAAGCTATACTATAACAAGCCGGACTGGATCCTTTTCTTTAGCCGCAAGTGTCGGAATGCACAGTGCACACTCAAGCAAACGCAGCAAATAACGGAAAAAAATACAGAATAAAGTTTTTAGTAGAAGACTGGTTTGGGTAGGTTGTAAATCCTGTGATCTTATTGATGAAGATGGAATATGTAAAGCTCATAGCGTGTCATATAAGCCCTAGATAATCCCAGTTAATAATTAGGTATTTTACATTTAAGCATTACATTCATCGCTGACTGTATCACATGAAATAGCATTCAATGAAGCACTAAAAGCAATGTAGTTAAAGACAACTAGACAGGTAATATATCAAATAATATGGCGTATATCGAAATATGATTTTAATACAGTTACTACTACAAGGAGCAAGTTATTGTAAAAATGTTGTATAACTAATTTTATTAATTGTCTTACTAATATTCAAAGGACAAAATTGTGACTAAAATGCCCTGTAAAGTATAGCTATTGTGTAAACAATTTACTGAGAAGTGACATTTTACGGCTGAAATGCAAGCTTATATCATCTTACTAGTCGCTTTTCACTTTGTATTGTATACTTTAAACCTTGCTAAACCAGGAGAATATGTTCAGCCACAACAAAGAACATCCAGCTAGCAAATTTTACTGTTTTAACATTGCCAAATATTTTGTTCAACAGAAATGACATATAATAAATTACTTTTTAACCTCGCTTATAATGCCGAAGAAATACTCAAACCTTGGTCCAATGCTGCAGGTTGGTTGGACCTTGTGTGGTGTGAATGTGTGATCGTGTTTTTTAGAGTCTGAAGACCTCGCGACCGATTCATAAGTAGTTACAAATTTACGACTTAGATGAGAACGAAAGTTAGCGACCCAGATGAGAACAAACAAATTCCAGGCTTCATGTACCGTAAATGCCATTCTCTTAATAAGAACTAAAACAATTTTATAGGACAATGGATCTACTCCTTGTAGCGAAGATATTTCACGTTGTATGTGTTATGAACGTGGTCTTCAAAGGTAAAATGAATATTATATGACACCATGTCATTCAAATATTCCTTCAATAATAACCTATAAGCCATAAGGAAGGGAGAAGAAAGGGTTATAAAGGTTTATTCACCTGAAATACCTTATAGACTGAACTATTATACTAGATGTTGCTGCATGATCTATGGCCAGAAAATAGCCTTCATGATCAATATATATTATTATGCATTCAATATAATTTAATAAACATTTGTACTTACGGCAAATTCTTACGGCAAATTCTTGCGGCAATTTTTGCTGCGATTTTATGTGCATATAATTTTCTTCTTTGGATAGATGTGAACGAGTAAATTAGTTACGGATGTTCAAATAGGAGTTCGTACACATCAGAGCATTCGTAACTTATTACTCGTTCACATATATCGAAAGAAGAAAATCACATTAGTCGTTTTATTAGCTAAACGTATGTTCCGTATCCTACATTTTAGTAACACACTCCAAAAAAATTTACGTGTCAAATACGGCGAGAGAAGATACGAAGTCTTGTGGTAAGAGTGAGGATAATCCATGTCAAACTATCAAAACTGCTGGTGTGAACGCAGACGACAATGATGAAATCACAATAATATCAACGCAACTGAAATACCAGGATTGCCCAATATATGTGCGCAAGCCTCTCGCTATCAGAGGGTTTCGTGGCAGACCTGTTATAGACTGTAGTGGTAAAGATGCTTTTATATTTACATATACTGAAAAAATCAAAGAGAAGCCGAACAATCATCCGCTTATTAAAATTGAAGTCTCGAACGTAGAAATACAAAATTCGAAAGCAGGTTTCTCGTTTTGGTCAAAAACCAGTGCTACGAACCTACGCTTAGAGAATGTAACATTAACGAACAACGAAGTTGATGTCATGTGGAAAAAGGCTCCACTTTGTTTTCTAGTTATGACAAATGTACTAGCCTTGGGACGTTCTGGATATGCAGTAGAAATAGAAAGTTGCGATAAAACTACGGTGTTGTTGGAAAACACAAGATTCAGTGGAAAATACCTTAAAATTATATCGACTATTGAAAGTTCCACTTTAAAGATCAGTATGAAAGAAACAAGGTTTGATATGAGAAATCGAGACGAAGGAATTCTTTCTACTGAGAAAACAAAAGACCATCAGTTTCACTCTCCAATGCAAGTCGTAACCGCACTGAAACAAACGATACTTAATATCAAAGGTTCAGAGTTTTTAAATCACTTTGGATACAGAAGTAGTATGATGAACGTGACAGCATTTCAAAAATCAAAGACGGGATATACTTCTGAAATAACCATTATTTTTCAGAGTGTATCATTTAGAAACAATACATCATTACTAGGTTCTGGTGGCGCAATCTCGTTTAACCTCTCATATAAACAAACCAAGAAGAGAAAGCAACTTGTACTTTTCAAAGATTGCGAGTTTTCGGGCAACTCAGCGTCTAACGGTGGTGCTGTTTGGTTCTCAGATTGGGTGAAAAAATCCGTCCAGTTTATCGAGTGCACTTTTAAAGATAACAAGGCACACGGGAAAAACACTGGCAGTGGGGGAGCATTGTCTGCATTCGGTGGCAAATTCTCTATAACAAAATGCAAATTTGAAGGTAATACAGCGATAAAATCCGGTGGAACCTTATACGTTTCTAACATGAAGGTGACAAGTATTCGGATAACGGATTCAGATTTTCAAAATTTGAAGTCTTCGTGGAGCCGCGTGGAAGGAGACGTGATGTACTTTAACGATGTTCAAGCAATTTTTCGGGGCAGAGTTGTGTTCAACCTGAGTTCAGCTAATTCAGGGGAAGCAATGTTTTTATTCGAAGGCAGGCCTGCGAAGTTAGAACTGAGTAATTCAAGTGTTTTCATCTGCCCAAAAGGTTACAATTATGATCAGTCCAAGTACACGCTCGAAACCGGACGGAACAAGCATAATTACTTCCCAACGTATCATTTATTTGCATTCTCATGTAAACCTTGTCAAGATTTGTTTTATAGCACCACGCGTGGTAGCTGGGTAGTGAATGGCACAGAGACACGCGGGACTTGTCACGCGTGTCCTTACGGTGCTTCATGTAACGGAACTATCCGTGCCAGGGCGAATTTCTGGGGTCTAGTAAACGGAAATAAGGTTGAAATGATCCCATGTCCAAAAGGTTACTGCTGTGAACGTGAACCATGCGAAAGCTATGATACTTGTCGTACGCACAGAACTGGAACTCTATGTGGTCATTGTTCGGATGGTTTCACAGAGGGGATGAGTTCAACGCAATGTTTCCCGAATGAAAAGTGTAATGGAGCTTTCGTGTGGGTATGGTCATTCATTAGTGTTGCTGGAATATTCATTTTTCTTTGTTTTCATCAAGAGGTGAGGAAAATGTTTTTTAAAATACTGCATGCATGCATGTGCTTTTTCGATTGATCAAAATGTTGAGTTGTTACTGAAGCGACCCCTAGCTAAAATTGTGATAAATTTGTGCGCAGTAAAGTTGACTATTTGAGAATGCAAGTGTATGTACATGTTTATGACTATAAAGTCTTTGTGCCCCAGATAAGCATTGCCGCCAACAGTCAAACGCTGTTTACAACACTGTACCGAGGTTTCCATTGCCATCGTACTTCTTCCATTTCGATCAGATTGTGAAGACTTTGGTGAAATGGTCTCTTTGGAATGCCGATGACGACGATGAAGACGATGTTATCGAGTACAGGGGAAATGAAAGAAATCACAACCTTAACGAAACAGAGCAGGATGAGTCGAACAGCCTGTTATCAGGAAATCGTGATGGGCAGCCGATCAATACAGAGTTCAGTCTTGAACTAAGACATGACCGACCAGACTACACTCACATCGACGAAAGCGGTGAATACAACAGCGGTAGTGGTTATAGTAAAGTTTTATACTATTTCTATCAAGCTGTTCTTCTTATTCGTCTTTCTTCTTACGTTTCCAGTTCTTCATTTCCAAATGTAGTTATCGATTTTTTAACACCTTTCCTCAACTTTCAGTTTACCAACATCTGGACTTGCGCTGGTGATAGTTTAAGGCCGGTCAGAAAGGTTTTCCTGAAAAATAGTGTTGTTTATTTCATATTAGGGTTTTCGTTGATCACTTATGTTATATACAGGCTTGCAAGATATCAAAAAGGGATAAATACAGACGATCAGCCCGGGTTTCAGGCAAGGTCGTACCCAGTTCGTTTGGTAGGCACTGTCATTCATGTAATTATTTTGTCATATGTCGCTCAAACACAATGCGTCGCACAACTTCTGAACTGCGTTGAAGTCGGTGGTAAAGATGTCCTTTACATAGATGGTTCAGTTACATGCTTCAGGCCTTACCAAATTGGTGTATGGATTTTCTTTGTGTTCTACATTGTGTCTTTCCCCCTTTCTCTGTTCGTTGGTCTTCAGTTGCTTATTTCGAGACGGATTTCATGGAGAGAGTTTATGATATCTTGCTTCCTTCCGTTTTTCTGTCTTCTTTATTGGTTATACAGATATCACAAACACCGAAATGGCACTAGAATTTGGACTTCATTGTCTGGGAACAATAATCCTTTCGAGGCAAAAATTATCTACATAATAAGGCATCCCTATAAATCACGTAATTTTCCAAATGCTAAAATAGCAGAGTACTGCAGCGAAAATTGGGAAGCCTTCCTAATATTCCGCCGTTTGGCACTGGTTCTAGTGTATATTTTTGCCAAATCGTTCCTTCTTCGAGCTTATTTGTTCTTCATCGCCTCAGTGTTGTTTCTGCTGGCCCATGTATTTGTTCAGCCATATGAAGATAACAAAGTGAACAAGCTAGATAACATATCTCTGGCATTAATCGTGTTGATATCTGGTCTTAGCATTGCAGAAGCGGCGTACAACAACGCCGGACAACTTGTTCCACACGATGTTCATTTGCTTCAATACTTCCAAGATTGGTTTTTGGCTATGTTGCCATTTTTTTTGCTCGGGATGTTTTTCTTTCCCAGAGTGAAGCATTATCTTCTCCGCTGTATGAAAAAATCCCAAAGTAATCCAGTCGCAACTGACAATGTTTCCGAAATACTGTCCGATCCGTTCAGAAGAAGCAAGACAGCAAATGAAGCTTCACCACTGACCACTTGAACCGAGGTTACGTGAAGTGTGTAAACGTGCGTGAACCATCTGGATTCCGGAAAAGAAACAAGGCTAATGTGGTAACTGGTGAGCAGGTACTGCTGGCTCAAACTGCGGTAGCAACCATATTTAAGGGGCGAATTGTACATTAGAATTAACAATACGTCAACGACCAATAAATTTATTGCATTTACTTTAGTTATTTATCGTTAAAAGACCCTTCAAATATACTACATCTTTGAGTTGTATTTTTAGAGAGTAGTACTTTAGCTAACGTAACGTTCACGACATTGCTGTGTTTGTCAGACGTTATAAAACACGCTGAATACAAATGTTAAAATGGCATACTTGGCATGCTTATTCAATTAACGGACTAATTACGGTTGCATACACTGTTAGTAATCCAATTTTTGTGTTTGCATTTGATCGTTTTAGTATGTATTTTGTGTTTGTATTTGATCGACGTGTGATGCGGGAGATTGGTGCCTAAAAGTAGTTTTGCTTGATCAGCGGTGTCGCAGTGTCGCTCATCTATTAAGGCGGATTTCCACTTACAGCGAAATCGTTCGCTAGCGAAATATTAGCATATTTTCTTTTGAATTTTAACAGCATAAATAAATTAGTTCGACTTGACTGTTCTCAATTCAAAAGAAAATATGCAAATATTTCGCTGGCGAACGATTTCGCTGTAAGTGGAAATCCGCCTTTAAGCATCACTTGTTTCCCGATTGAGTACAGCGAGCTCAAAGTTTTTAATTTTTTTTAAAAGTTTTGGGGCAAAAATTATGTCGATTATTCGTAAAAAAGAACTAGGTAACAAATGCAATTTATTGCTCTTGTGATTATTGTTAATTTTGAAACACATTTATTTTTTTACATAATATTATTTACATTGACAAGGCGCCAGCAATATTAATTCGCCTGCGGACCTAGGCAATTTCGTGACGGCCATGCATCAAAAACACCTTCAGTTAAAACGTAGATCTTACTGTGATAACCACTGCTACTGGCGTGACTATTTTATTTACTTGTTTTGTTTTGTGTTGGACGCTGCTGGCACAAATATTCTACCAAGTTCTAATCGTTGTCTTTGGTGCGCGTGTAAACCAAAGTGAGTTAAATTTATAGTTATATTTAGTTCTTTTGCTAATTTAGATTTATAGTTTGTTAAATGTATAGGCTACACGAGATGGTTAAAGTTGCGTGCTGTGCATGCATGTGATCACGCAATACTGTATTTAGTATAGCTACTGTTGTTTCGTGTTCTCTAGTTCGAACCTGATAACCATTTGCATGGTCAACCAATCATTTCGATATTAAAGTCGTCATTTATTAACTGTCTGTGTACGCATTGCTAATTGTATTTTGTCGAGTTCGAAATATCAGCGCACCGCGCCTACATCTCGATCGGTCTGTAGCAGATCTCTTACAATTTACATTAGATTTAAATTGATTTTCATAGGCGTATAGGACAGGGGGGCACTTGTCCCCCCAAAATTTCGAGAATCAAGAAATTTGGGCAAAGTTCAGCCGAAAACTCGGGCAAACTGAAAAAGAGATACATTTACATATATAGCTAAAATTTTTAAAACCAAATTTTGTAATATATATCACATATGTGCATTTTATTTGGCCATTTTTTTTACACTTACTTGAAAGCATATCCGGTAAAAGTTAACATTCGGGCACATTGTATAATTTAAAAATTCGGGCGATTTTTTTGCGCCTGTACGCCTATGTAATGATTTTTGCTTCGTATTACCTCTAACCTACCTCTGATCTATACGAACTTTTTGTAGGACACACTGGCTTTCCTTGACTAAGCAAAAAACCAATGACAAAGAACTGCGCAGCAGTGAGTATATGATTAGAAATAGAGACCCTCACTTAAGATTGGCAAACGGCAAACGCCAAAGCGTGGAATCACACACCAGCTTTCTACTTATAAAAAATTGATGATTAAGCTGTGATGTGAGAAAGCAAAGGCCATTGCTATGTTCCGAGCAAAAAAGTAAATCTAACTTTGCTGTGTAGCCTGTGTATGTGTTTGTCATATAGAGAATTTATCAGTATTTTTTGAACGGCTGTGTCTGTGAGTGCCTGCATTTGTTCAGTCATTAGAAGTGCGATATAAATATAGACAAAGTTCCTGAGGTCGCGGGTATATAATGTTTAGTCTTTAGAACCACCAGAAATCATCGTTGAGGCCTTACATTCATTCACGAACAAAATGTCATTACTGATAATCACCTGTTTCTTTGTTTTAAACAGTGTGCTCACTGAAAAGCAAGGGAAAGTCGACGATACAAAAGGTCAGTACTTTAGATTATATGATTAAGAAGCAATAATGACTGTGTCTGTGACTGCCTGCATTTGTTCAGTCATTAGAAGTGCGATATAAATATAAACAAAGTTCCCGACGTCAGGTATATAATGTTTATAGAACCACCAGAAATCATCGACTTTCGTTGAGCTCTTACATTCATTCCGACAAACAAAATATCATTGGCCCGATTTATACTTGAGACGGATCATCTGTCCAGACGTATCATCCGTCTAAACACAAGACGAACTAGTATCTAGACGAACTATGTCTACCAGTTGTACGGAGCTATTGTCGTATCAGCTGTAAAGTATAGCGTCTGTATAGAAGTGAAAATCAATCACTCAATACATGGCTGAAGCGAGGCGAAAATAATTGAGTAACTTTCATGAGAAATGTGCAGTGATAAATGATAATTTCTCAACAAACCTCACTCCGCCGAGATGGATTTACAAGTATTTGTCCCCGAAAATCAAGTCATAGGGACTCAAAAATACAGCAAATTTTCTGCAAGAGGTCCTGCAGACCCCCTACAATCCCCCAATCTTTAAATTACCAATTTCTAGTTAACATAATTTTTATTATGCACATTACTATATTGTGATGATATGTGCAGTGATAAAATATTCTTAAAATTAGCTATGAATTTTATTGTGCACAACTGAAACTATAATAATAAATTCTTTATCTAGAACTTGCGACAAGTTAAATTCTATCGCAAACCTGTATCCCAAGTGTTTTTTTGAGACGTCTTCCATATCGAAATGCTGAAACAGCAAATATCAATATTATTTGTCGGCTTATCAATCTTCATCGCGTGTATGGTCTTGCTCCTGATTATTTTACCCAACGAAACATCTCAAAACTTTACTCGAGTACCTTATGCAGTTGATGAAAAAATCGTTCTTCTATTCTGGTCAAATTTATGGGGCGTCCCCGCCAAAAGAAGCGAAGGATTTTTGGAGAAGGGAAATGACGGAGGAAAATGTCCAGTGGCCTGTGAAGTGACGTCTAACCACAGCCGGATCAAGGACTCACATGCATTTGTAGTTCATGCACGTGACCCATACCCCCTGCCCCCAAATAAAGACATACCTTGGGTTCTTACATCACTGGAAAACCCTGTGTACACACCGGTTTTAAAAAACCCAGCATACATGTCACAGTTCCACTTGTTACGAAGCTACAGACTTGATTCAGATTTTCCCACTCCTGCTTTTACCAAGCCAAGTTTGGACCTACCCATACCATTTAAAAACAAAACGGGAGGCATAATGGTAGCGTTTTCAAACTGCGAACGAGTTCGAACCGAGTATCTTAGACAACTGATGAAGTTTATTAAAATAGACTCGTATGGTGGGTGTTTACGGAATAAAAAAGGACTAATCGAGCGTTACGGAGCTGACTTTAAAAAGAAAAAGTTGTTTCTACAGAAGAGTTATAAATTTGCGATAACATTCTTTAACCAAGATTGCGATTATTTCGTCGATGATCAAATTTTGCATGCCCTAAATGCAGGTGCTGTGCCTATTGTAATGAGTACGGACAAGATTTACGATTTTTTACCAGGAAATCTTAGGAATTCTATCGTTAATGTCAGGGATTTCAAAAATCCAGCCGATCTGGCTGAACACCTAAAGTTTCTGATGAACAATGAAACAGAATACAACAAGTATTTAGAATGGAAAACTAAAGGGCTTGGTGATATAAGTGGTACGATTATCGGTAGTTATTGGAATAGAAAATTTAATCATTGGTGTCAGGTGTGTCAGGCGATAGCTCAGAAAAAGTGGCATAAACAAGGACTTAAAGTCGATGAATGTCAGCCCAGACAATACAACACTTGGGGAATACATCGATAAGCAATTATATTTAGTGTTATTCTAAGGTAGTATTAAATTCTTTTGTCTATAAAACTATAATTTTTAATATTCATTTTTAGTATATTTTTAGTAGAGTATAGGTTCTAAATTAGCCTGCATTCAAAATTGGTGATGATAAAGTTGTGACGTAATAGACCTTTCCGCTTTTAGCTTTCAAGCTCGCAAAGCGTGACGGTAGTTGATTATCAAGGTCAATTTGAGTTGTTATTTCGCCATCTTCAGGAGTGATTTAGTTTAACAAAGAAGCAAAATGAATCGGAAAGGTTTCTTACAAAGAAAATCGCTTCTAAGCAGAACGATATCACAACTCAAAGTTGCTTGATAATCAACTACCGTCACGCATTGCGCGCTTGAAAGCTAAAAAGGAAATTTATATTAATATTCTATATTAATATTCTATATTAATATTCTATATTAATATTTACGTGTTCCTATACTCTAAAAATAACGTTCCAACATAACCAGGGAGCACCGTGGCAGTGAACAACTGCCTAAAAAACACAAAACCACTTTTCCACGTATACGGGTAAAAGCAACGCTTTCAACGGAATCAGTCTTGCAAATAATTAATGTACGAATTTATCTCATCAATTTTCGCGCCGAGGTTCGACTTTGAAATTCCGGATGTAAAATAGAGTATATTAAATGTCCTGAAGTTTTTTCATAAGTTGCAAGTTCTACAGCAAGGAAGGATGCAGGGTTGCTTTCCGAGCGTGATTTAATGCCATTAAAATTTTGCGTGGTCAAGGAATGTTAAGATGCACTAAACGCCCATACTTGTAAGTTATATACACCTGATTTGACCCGGCATATTCCAGTCGAATATACCATGTTTTTGTACATTCAATTATATATACCATATTTGTTTCGTGCATCAAAGTTAATCCTCAAAGTTAAATCCTCAATCAAATATCTTCATCCTCACCAAGGTCGAATATACCTGGTATATTGGATGTAAAATATCTTCCATACTTCGGTGTAATTATACGATCTTATCATTATCGAGTATAACATTTTTCGGTATATTTGCTCTAACCATGGTTGAACCTTACTATCGACCTTACCAAGGTCGAATATAGCTACCATATTACGGTACATTAGACCATGGTCGACTATACCATATTCCGGTGTATTCGAAAATGTTTACAAAGTGGGCGTTCTTCTATTCATCATCTGCAGATAAATAAATCTTAAGTCTTATAGCCAGAGCCAGAATATAGTTGCATCTTAAAACGGTACAAACCGGATGATCGAGAAAGGGCTGTGCATGTAAAATCATATACTCGTTGGTATATTTAAAACTGCAGGTGACTTATAATAAAATATTCCAGTTTTAAAACATTGAAATTATGCGATCTCGAAGAATACCAAGTCTCCCTTTGATACTGGATTTGCCCAGATGTCTTCGAGAAACATCCATGATTTGCCAGCCATGAAGATCACGCAGCATATAGCACCAAAGACCAAAGACCACTCTTTTATCTTTTGAATAAGTATAATGACCTTACTCCTTAGGCCGATGGCCTATAACCACTTAAAAACCGAAGCAAAATGTTTGAAAAGAGGAGTGATGTGACAATCTTACGGCATATTATCAAGAAACTGCACATTTCCACCCGCTGGATATTGATGTAGACATGCTGAATGGTCTGGATTTGGGCATTTTGCAGGAGCTGCCGTAGAATATGTCTCTCCGTCATGATACTTAGTTCTGCCAGATTCCAGAAAATGTCCTCTAGCAATCATCCCAGGATTACGAGGAACTGTTATCCAGGCACCACTCAAGCGAATCTTAGTAGGTAGTTGATTTTGTTGAACCATTTGCCTGATCTCGAGTGATTTTCGACCATACATAATTATTTTCCAGTTTGTAGTCGATATAGTAATACTCCCTAAACCAGCTTCTGCCTTGTTCGACTGGAATACAAAACCGGCGCTCTCGAACTTTGCTCGAAGTTTGTTAAAATCATTGAAGTCCTTGGTTTCAAAATATATTTCAGCATTCTTCCCCCATGCACGGGTAGAACCAAAATGAAAGGCACCTGAAGAATCACATTTGTTTTCACTGAACTTTCCCCTTAGGAAATACCCAATAGGTTTCCGTGATCCAAATATCGTAATTCAAACACACAGAAATGACAAATATATTCATGATAAATTCATGAATCTGTTTGACTAATGTAATTGCCTACATAGCTTGTTTTTGAACTTACCAACTAGATCTCCAGCAGCATACTCACAGAACATGTTGCTATCTTCACACACCTGCATCACAAACTTCACAAGTTCTCCTAAATATGCATGAATATATATGATATAACATGATACTTTACTGACAATTAGCAGAGTTATTAGAGTGAATGCATGTCAATATAAGTGTGATCTTTACAATGTAAAGCTGTGATCTTTACAATGTAAAGATCACAGCGAATTTATGTCCATGAAACTGATAGTTGACAAAGTAAACTGGATGTTACCTAAATTCCATAGATCACATGGTGGTACACCAATACCATTCTTCCATGAACATCCAGTCTTATTGGTATAGTTCAGACCACGTCTACAACCATACCATTTCACAGTGCCATCGCTGGAAACAATTTTCTTAATATTATGCTTGTTAGCCAAGTCTACCAATGCTTCATTCGGCACAAATGGTGTATCCATATTGAACATTACATCAGCACAAACAACAGCAAGGTTCTGTTGCTTTTTAAATCTCCAAAAGAGGTCATGAAATAGTCCTTCTGATAGACTACATTTGAAAAGAGATAAAACTGATTTTTACCTATGTATAGATAGGAGAGTGCAACAGACAGAATCCACTTTTTAACAAATTATGTTTAGTGTTTTAATTAGTTGATTCCAATATCTATGATGCAACATGTTAAAGTATTTGTTATTTTGTTTATCAATAGAAGTAGGTTCAGTATTCTTGTTTATGCATACTATAAAACAATAAATCTTTAAATTTCCCACCCCATAATTACCTTGCATCAATCTTGAGTGATTGCAACCATTCTGTTTTAGCTACAAATGGTCCTGCAAGATAATCACACACCACACATTCATTAAAGGACCTATAATATCCAGCAGTGTACTTAGCTGTCCAGTAGTTGAAGGATAACTGTCGACAACCAAGGTCCCAGTGTCCAGTTAAATTCCGATAACTTCCTCCTGCTACTGATACATCATCACGATAGCTTAAAACTCGCACCAATCGATACAAATCAATATCATCATCAAAGTGGGTTAGATAAGGTGCTATTAATACATATGGTGTTGACACTTGCTCCAGTAATTTTGCCCACATGCTTCCTTTATTTCCTTTGATCACTTCATTTTTGAACTTTATTTTTAAACTGGATATTTTTTCTACGGTATCCTTATTCAACTCTTTCTCAGTTGCTAAAATAACCTGCACTTCAGGGTAGTCATTGGAGATTGTTGTCATCATGCTAAGGTAACTCATAGCAGGTTTAGGATGTTCATGAGGGATGTACATTAGTAGGGTTAAAAGTTCATTTATAGGGACAAAGTTGTGACATTTGACACGAGCATAGCCTTTACGATAATATGGTGCACCATAACCAAGATCATCTCCAGCATATATTTCTGGGCAAACCTCTTCTTTTCTTGTTTTTGTTTTTAGTGCTTTCAGTTCTGCTGCTTTTGGTTTAGTGATTGGGTTTTGATCAATGTCAAGAAGTTTCAAAATATCATTTACTCTATTCAATTGAAATCCTAATAAGTAGGCATTGTGTGATGAGGCTTCAAAGTCTTCTTGTACTTTCAGAATGTTCTTTGCAAGTGTCTGTAATCTTTTACTTAGTTCTAATTTTTCTGGGTCAGAAATAGGCGTGCATGTTTGGTAGTCAGTTTTAAATAGTTTTATGGTCACAAAAAAGAGAAGTGCCAGTAGAGCTATGAAAATGACATTGCCACCTCTAATCCTCATTTCATGACAGCACTTGTAATTGTCTAAAAATTACAACATAAATATCACTAGCAAACCATAATTCTTATTCAAGAGTTAGTAGTCAATAAAAAGACTAAAAATGTTTTAAGAAAGGATCAAACATTCTGCAATGGCTTACTTTAATGAGTTTGATCTATTAGTACTTAGTAGGTTAAATTTCTTTAAATATGAGAATATCAACAATTGTAATATTCTATTCTATGATTTCTATAATTGCCTGGCGAAAATAATAACAATATATGCATATTTACCCTGAATAAATATTCTTTAAATGAAGAACAGTGTTACAAATAATGGTGCCTGTGGATACGCATACGCTATATAGAGATATGAATATGAATATGATACTTCTGTGTTTTGCTGATTGCTTTATGTTCGCGCGCACGTGTTGACTTCCGGCGAGCTTGGCAAGTGTCATGAGGGAATTTAACGAGTAAAACGCCGTTTTTAAGCCGAAAAACAGCTATTGCAAAAAATTTGCGGTGAGCGTTAATTTATCTGTGATTATCATTTATCTGTGATTATCATTTATCTGTGATCATCACCGCCAAAAATCAACTTTGCAATTCGACTTTTAACATGGGAAATCAACGACACCGCTGCAAATTCCGCTCTATACCAGGCTTACACCGAAAGTAATCGATGTTTCACCGCTTTCACGGTATAAAAATTATAGGCGATACACGCGACACCATGGCCAGCTTTTTTATTTGATACAATAATTCCCGATTCTGGCTATTTCGATACTGATACTCATAGCAATATTACTGTCTATGTGCCGCCATTTTTGGGGTACTTTAAGAAAATTGAAAGTACCTCAAAAATGGCTGATATTCGTCCAAATTACTGAGGTCCAAATATTCGTCATGGTGAGAAAGGCCAGGGTATATAAGCGCCATGATATGAGGGCCCGTTCTGGTCAAAATGCAGCATTTAATTTTTTATAGACGACCAATTATTATTCCTTGGGTGTTGAAATATTATTTCATACTCAAATTATATTTTGCTTCGTGAAGCTATTATTTTTTACAATGCTAAATTATTTCTAACAAGTTTGGAAATAATTTTATCTATAGACCAATTGCGAAACTTAGTAACCGCGCCTTCGCTCAACATGGAAACGAGGCTTATTATGCAAAAAACAATATTTGTATTTTTTGCAGTACAAAGCTATTCGCCGAGTTATATGCCGTTTTTCGCCTTTGTTTTACATATTTTTCGATACCTTTCAGCTTGGTTTCATCGTTGTTATCATAGTTCTCAGGTTAGGAAATTTTGCCTTTCAATTGAGGCGTTTTTGTGGTGTTTTCATTAATCTTTTCGGCTGCTTTCGTCGGGGAAGTATGGAAAAGGCCGACACAAACTCAGGTAAAAATTTAGTTTTTCCAAACTATTTCGTGTCAAGTTTTGAAAATGTATTTCATTTTTCTCCCTCTTATTTGTGCAAAATTTGGCGATATATATTTGGTGCAAAATCTATGTTTTTTATGTCAAAAATTATTGAAAAGTGACAGTCAGATTATATAATTTTCAAACCTGATGACTGAAATGGCTTCATTTATCCAAATTTATTCACAAATATCACTGTATTTTTTTTCTTTATACCACAGTAATACTGTTAAAAGGTCAAAAGTAACTGACTGAAATGTTTTTGTTTATATTCGTTTTAATAAAGTAGAGACGATGCATAGCTTGCATGCCAGCCTGAAGGCCGAATTTTATAAAAGTCGAATTCGAATGCATCTGAGTTTGCATCTGAATTCTGCATTTTTGTTAGTACAAAACACTATTCTTTCTATCTACTACCATGCAATAGATGTTTAATAAGGGTTAACCAGGAATACTTGAAAAGGAAAGGATTCCGTTCACCATCGTAAACGGAAAAACACTTGCGAACTCCGGTTTAAATATTTTTCGCTTTCGGCTTTCCCATCATGTAAAGGTGTATCTTAAAAAACGCTGCAGCTCGCATTGTGGCTACCTTTATAGTATGTTATTGCGGGAAAAGGAATATTCAAATGGCAATTCAAAATAGACAATGATATTATGTCTTGGTTATATTTTACTATCCATGTCATGCATGTGTGCCAAGTTGAAGAGTTCATCACATCACATGTACTGTAGTCTATATACACAGGGAAAATAAACATAAAACTCCGTTGCTTATTTCATCTGTTATAGTTTTTGTCAACAGATTTCTACTATTTTTTTTTGCTGAGCTGTAAAATTGCTGTCAAATTACATCTTATCGATCGATAAAATTGGTATAAAAAAATTTTAGATGAGAAATGTGAACATGGTGGTTTGTTCGATCGTGACTTTTCAATAATTTTTGACATAAAAAACATAGATTTTGCACCAAATATATATCGCCAAATTTTGCACAAATAAGAGGGAGAAAAATGAAATACATTTTCAAAACTTGAGACGAAATAGTTTGGAAAAACTAAACTTTTACCTGAGTTTGTGTCGGCCTTTTCTATATTTCCCCGACGAAAGCAGTCGAAAAGATTAATGAAAACACCACAAAAACGCCTCAATTGAAAGGCAAAACTTCCTAACCTGAAAACTATGATAACAACGATGAAACCGAGCTGAAAGGTATCGAAAAATATGTAAAACAAAGGCGAAAAACGGCATATAACTCGGCGGATAGCTTTGTACTGCAAAAAATACAAATATTGTTTTTTGCATAATAAGCCTCGTTTCCATGTTGAGCGAAGGCGCGGTTACTAAGTTTCGCAATTGGTCTATTGCTTGAGTTATTTTTTACTACTGCAAAATACTTTTGTCCGCACAATAATATAACACGAATAAATTTTATGTATGTAAGAATTAATTTTGTCACAACCGCGAATTAATTTTGTCACAATGGCGAATTAATTTTGTCACTGCAACCAACAATTAATTTTGCCAGTGATTTTGCTTCTTTCGAACCCACTGTACCGTGATCCTCTTCGACCGCAACGTCTCTTGGAAGATAGCTACAGCATCGATGAAATCAGGTAAATGGCACATTGAAAGAAACATATTGCAAAGTCTTTCTTAGCTTTCGGAACTGACAAACTAACAAATTCTGAAATGACGAAATGCCAGCTCGTCGAACACGTCGAGGTCGAATTCTACGGGAGCGAAACGAAGGCGGTTTCGCACTTTTTCTTCAAAATTTAAGAAGTGTGGTGAGTCTCTTTAATGACATAGAACAGCAGCCATTAGAGACAGACATTCTAACTGAAGCAAGAAACAGGCTACTGGATGCAACTGGGACTATCACTTTGCTTTTGAATGATACATCAGGAGGTCGACCGAACCCAACGGGCCTTCCCTCTGTTGATCTTGAGATGCCATTACAGAACTTAAAAAGATCATTGACCGAACTTATCAACCTTTTGTGTTCTCTAATTGAATGTAATAGTGATGTTAATTTCGACGATGAAATTGACTTGTCCTATTCCGCACCTCTTGAAGGTACAAGTGAAAGGCGTGGTCGTAAACGTTACGAGATATCGAAAGATCACCTGGAACATTTGCGTTCGTTGTTTTTTCCTGGGAAAAAATTAGCAGAATTTTACAAGTAAGCATCTCAACTATACGACGGCGACGGGTCGAATTTTGTCTAAATGAAAAGTTTGAAAGCTACTCAACTGTGACAGATGATGAATTGGACAATATTTATCATGGTATTGTAACCTGTACCACTAGTTCTGGTCCTCTAACACCAAACCTGGGAAGAAGGCGATTAATTGGGGCTCTAAGGAGCAGAGGCTTGCACGTGCAAAGGCGACGAGTCAGCGAATGTTTACGAAGAAATGACCCTGTTGGAACTGCTTTACGTTGGCGAATGGCTATTCATCGTAGAAAATACTATGTCCCAACCCCAAATAGTCTGTGGCACATAGATTCTGGGCATAAGTTGATCAGATATAAGATGATAACTCATGTCTGTATTGATGGGAAAACACGACTCATTTTATATGCAGTATGTCGTAATAATAACAAAGCTGACACAGTCTTGACTTTGTTTGAGAAGGCAGTGCACAAATGGGGGCTTCCTTCCCGGGTTCGTAGTGATTATGGAATGGAAAATTATCATGTAGCAGCATATATTCAAAATCGTGGTGCAGGAAGAGGTAGCATCATCACAGGCTCATCGGTGCATAACTGCAGAGTTGAGCGAACACACCGTGATGTCTATTCAGGTGTATTAGTGTTTTATGCTCGTATCTTTGAAGAATTGGAGGGATGGTTTGCTCGATGTTTTGGATGACATTCACTTATTTAGCTTGCACCATATGTACATACCAAGAATTGAAAATTCTCTAAAAGAGCTTGTTGCCCAACTCAATAATCGTCCTGTTTCCACTGAGAGGAACCAGTCACCACTACAAATGTGGCATACAGGGATGTTGGGAAATATACACTCTGATCACACTGCCCTACATGGGGAAGATATTGAAAACCTTGGTGTAGATCCAGATGGTGTGCTGTCAATTGAAGATGAAGACTACCAAGTAGTTGTTACCCCACCCATACTTGACTTAACAGATGAAGAATTAGCAATGCTTCCAAATCCCTTATCTAATGACAACAACAGTGGAAAAGATCTGTATCAGCAATGCATTGAAACATTGAATAACATGGTTGATGATGTGATGAATGACTAAAATATAATTTAAGCAAACACAACCATGAAAGTGTCCAACATTAGGGGGGGGGGTGATACAGCAGCAGACTTAAAAAGGCTGTTTACCAACAATTAATCAAGTTGGGAGTAATAAAAAAGCCTTCAATTTTATAAAAATGCTGTATAATAATGAAGATTATACAGACTGTATGTCATAAGTTTTATGGTATTTTACTCTTAACTTGATTAATTGTTGGCAGAAAGATTTTCAAGTTCATTCATATTAGAATGGGCAGCAACACTGTGTCACTGCACATTTAATTCCATAAAATGACACGAATTAACTTCTACTTCTGTAATTCTATCACATAGTTTTCCCACCAAGTTATTGTTGATATTGGTTTAAATAAAGTTTAATTAGTAACATAATTTGTTACATTGGCAGATTATGACATGTTGTTTACATACTGGTGTAATATTACAAAATTTGGAATATTTTAGTGTTATCTTTGTTTAACAGAACAGTAACAAGAACAAGAACAAGAACAATAATAACCATCCATATCACAGTTTTACTTTTAGAAATATATATGGTACCAAGGAGTGTTTTACAATTTACTGCTTCCCAAAATATGACTGACTGAATGCCATATCATAGAGGTCAAATAATTTTTCCTTAGTGGGAAGAGGGTATTGGCTTGTTGCCCTAGGCAAATGCAAACTGTTGCTGCAAGTGCGAGCGAATGGGAGAAAACCAGCTATGACTTGTGTTGGGTCAGAACCAGATGACTGGACTGGCATTTCAGTTGGTGAGATAAATTTTAATGATGGAGGGAGGAAAAATCCAAGCACAGGCTCTTCTGCTGCACCAGTAACAAACTGAAGAATGTGGCTTAGATCCAAGGTTATATCTCCACAAACTCGCCTGCCTGCTGCCACTTCTCTCACATACCTTACAAACATTTGGTAAACCTCTTTTTCCATTGTGAGTGCATTAGACCCTTCCTCTGAAAACTGTGGCTGCAAAATGTGCAACAATTTTTGCACATTTACTTTCTGCTGGGCTCCAGGTCGCAACAGGTAAGTCAGCATAGGCAGTTGTATCAGTGCTGATAGCATGCCCAACATCTCAAGACCACGCGGTATATACAAGGATCAGGGCTATTT